TTTGCTCCTACTCCTTTATTTCTTCCATCAAATCATGCACACGATAATTTAAAAAAAATATTTTTTGTTCTTTTATAATTTTTATTTAAGTTTTTCACTGTTAAGCGGCTAATCAGGCAAATTTGGGTTTTCCATAATTTTTAAAATTTTTTTCTTGAGAGACAGATCCTCACCCAAAATGTCTGTATTTCGCCTCTAAAAATCAAACTCGACTTAAATATTCCTTATTACCTTCATACATTTCTTGGCAATACTTGCTTCAGCATGCATCGTTATCAATAGGATTTCCAATGGCATTTTATTGGTTGTTTTCCAGTTAAAAATTTGCTTACTCTAATTTATAATATTCTAAATCGTCATAGAATAAGTATTGTGTAAATATTTTTCATAAAAATAGTTATTACTTATGTTTTTGTAGTCAACTCCCCTTAAATTTATTAGCGAAAAATTTCGCACAAAATTTCCTACTCCCTGTAATTGAGAATACCTAATTTTTCCCCAAAGCGGATTTTTTCGCTTTCGAACTTCATTCAGAATAAGGCGAAAGCGAGAATGCGAAAAAATTCACTGGAAAATGTTGTTCAGAATAAGGCGAAGGGAAAGAGCGAGTAAATTCACATGGAATTGACATCCAGAATAAGGCTGTATGTGTCAGGCCGTCGTTGCATACAAAATCATATATCAATTTAAATATCGGACTACCTACATACAGAATGTGCCTTGGCCTAAAAGTATGCTATGATTTTCACAACAAACCGGCAGAGCAAAAAATTGCCGTTTAAAATAAATCAATTTTTGTGTGGTTTTTCATTTTCAGGTAATAGGCGCCCAGCACCGAACAGTAAGTATATTTCGGAACATGGTTGAATTCAAATGCAAATAACTCAGCGAATATTTAACCGATTTTTAAGAAATTTTTACAAATGGTTAGATGGAATTCTAAATTTTTATTACATATACTCAATATACATATACACAAATGTTATGTATGAGAAAAATGGCTTTATTTGCAAGTTCCAAGATATGTAAAATATCAAATATTTTTTGTTAAATGTAAACAAGTAGACATTATCTTTGATCGATTAAGGCGAAATTTTGCATAGCGTGTTGAATTGAGTCCAGAATGACGTATTCTGTTAACAAATTTTCAATTTTTAAAAATCTAATATTAAGCGATTGTAATGTTCGATTTGACCCAAACTCTGCACATCGTCGTATTTTTAACGAATCTAAGTCAAGATCGAAGATGGGGAACATAGGCCCACTCCGTCTGGTAGCTCCCACACAAAAAGTGTTAAAATTTTGTTGAAAATAACTTTTGTTATATCTACCTGATTTGAACCATGCATCGCACAATGTACAATTATCAAGCCTGCACATTGTTGGAAGATAAGATTTATTAGCGCATTCCTTCTAGGGTTACAACTTTAAATTTTTAAACATCCAATATTAAGAGAATGGAATGCCCGATTTTAAGCCTGGATTTTAAAGGGTATACTCTAAATAATATTCTAAAATATATATAAATTCGTATCTTTAAATTTCTTTTCAAGTGATTTCATAAAAAAATATATATATTTTTATTAGTATCATATTTTTTACACTACATATTAACCATTTACATATTTTTGTTTTTTTTTTTATTAAATTTCACATTAAAATCAAATTGTGCTTAAAGCATACCCTTACTACGTTTAAAGGCTGCACCAGCCTTACGATTATGATTGGCTCGTGACGATTTATTGGCCTCTTTCTTTTGGCGATTTCGCAAAACATCTTTCTCTTGTCCCTGGCCCTTTTGTTTGCCAACCACATCAAAGTTTTGTGGCGCTGGAGGTGCTTGTCCCTTCTTGGACCATTTAGCTTGCCGCCTGGCTTCGTAACGGGCCCGTATATCTTCTGGATTTTCACAAAAGTTCATATTTTTACGATTTTCCTTTTGACTCGTATCCTCCTCCTCCGATTCATTTTCATCATCTTCCGATTCATCGGCTACATTTGCCAAAACTTGTTTCATATCTTTCGATTTTACAACACGAGTTTCACTCTCCAGCAAAGCTTCATAACTGTCATCATATTCGTCGTTATATTCATCATTCTCTCCGGCCTCATCATCGCCCTCGGTGACCAAGGAATATTCTTGATATTTATGTCGTATGGCAGCTAAATCACGTTTATCATCGAGCAATTGTGCAGCATCTTTGGGCACATTCGGCATACCTTTACCCTTCTTTATAATACACTGAGGATTATCCTGAGTCATTATATCGTATTTATCGCCATCAAAGATATTAAAATGTTTAACACCCGTATCTTTATAGATTTTGTCCTGGGGATCTGGTGGTATATAGACTTCAGTTTGATCAGCTTCAGCTAGATCGGGTGGTAAATTATTTTCCAAAACTGCAGATATTGCCTCCTCTGCATTGTTATAACGGCTGAGCACACGTCGTACAAAACCAGTGCCCAGGTGTGGTAAACAATCGAGCACTACTGTAACTTCTAATTCTAAATCTCTGTTTGTTGCAGAAGTTTCGTTCGAATTACCGTTATCCTTGGGTGTTAGGTTATTGGCAGCTTCTTCTGAGCTATTTGGCAATGTTGGACTGGGACTCTCATTGTAAATTTCTTCTTTGATATTGTTGTTATTTATATTGTCTACTGCTGCACTGGCACATTCGCGGCGATAGCCATCAACAACAAAATCGGCTTTGAAACTATCCCTATTTAAAAGAAAATATAATATAAATATAAGGGTCCATTGAAACATGCAAGCCAAATCTGAAAGAAAACGTACACATCTGGACAGGCCTGTTTTAAAATATCCACATCAAACGATAAGGGATAGTGGCGTTCATAATCAACCACAAATGTTTGTTCAGATAAACATTCCGTCATAAGGCCAATGAATTCCTCAGCTGCCATGAGACCAGTCTCTCTGGAAACAACAAACAATTTTAATTGATTTTTTGCAAGGACCAAATGAGGAACAACTTACGGTTTCGCCAAAACAGCTTCAACATGAGAATAGGCAATGCAACGAAATGCTTTCAAAAACTGGAAACGAGCATGATTTATCCACAAAAGACTTTTGGATTGTTCATTTATCACATAAATATTTTTATAAAGGAACGGCAGTGTATTATCATAGAAGTTGGCAATGACTTGTGCCAATTTAATTTCCGAACATATCTGCTTGGCAGCGGGACATACATCCAACAGCACACTCAGTGTGAAAGCACAATCCAATGTGTAGAGGACAACATCATCAAAGGGCGTTTCGCAACTTTCATCGGGTAAACCACCACCGGCACCTTCAAAACCCTCATTTTCCGTTTGGGTATGTATGGAACGGAATGCCACGCGGAAATAGGTTAAAGCATGTTGTAAATCCTTTTTATAATTCGGTTGTAGCAGTAAAAGATTATCGAAAATCTTCTTCAGCAATTCACTATTTTCACGAGTAGCATTTCCCACCGCTACTAATAGATCGAAAAGCATGGGAATGGAAACAAGATAATTTTCGTATATCAACATCTTCAATTCGTCTTTTTTCAACCATGATTCGTTGGACTCCTTGGGTGAGAGTATGCGACATATTATGCGTAAAATCAGATTTAGAATACACTCATAGAGCTCTTGAATTTCGGCTGCAGGTAATTCGGTGAATACATTTATATAGAATGGTGTGGCTTTTTGTAAAAATGAAACAATCGCCGCCAGGGCAGATTGTTGATACAACAAATATGACCAAAATCTAAAAAAGGAAAGTTTTAATATTCAATACTCTTTTATGTCGGTTGACCCATTCTGACTTACTCATGCTGGCTTAGGCTTAACAAAAATTCCATATCATTTTTGAAAGTTTCCGCTTCATGTTTCCATTCCTCCAAGGCAGCTCCCTCCTTGAAATGGCCACCGGAAACTACCAGGCCAGTGTAGCTGGAAAATATGGATCGTGGTGCCCAATGTTTATCCTAAAAACCAGAATTATATGCATTTTAATTGTACTTGGAATACATATGGGTATGTAATATGTACCAATGCAGGAATATTTCGCCTAACACCATCGTCGCCGATTACAGAGAAAGTCAACTCCTTGAGAGACTTTTTATCGGGATTATCCTAAAATACACAGACAGACATACATTAATATTGTTCACAATGGAATATTAAAATGGGGGATTTACCTTGATAACTTTACTTTCGTTTGGTGTCATCCTTTCGGGAAATTCTTTCACATCCAACTACGAATCGAATGAATGAACTAGTTCATAGCATATATTATTCCCTGAAATGAACGATTGGAACTAGATGTGATGTATCAAAACAAAAACATATGTTTTTTTATTCTGTCCATCTGTCACAGTTTTATCTAGTAATAATTCTCATGGTTGGCAACATTGCACATCGGTGTACAACTAGCACTTTCGAGTGGCATTTTTTGTCAACATATAATCCACTGGATTTGTGAACAGGATAACGTGACGTATACGCAATGGAATTGGCGTTTGAGATCTAATGGATTTAGTAGTCTAAACGTAGTCTAGTATAAAATGAAAATATTCGCTGTTCCAAACATAAATTTACTGTAGAAAAATTTAATTTCGAAGGGGCGGGCGGGTCCCAGGGCCCCCCTCTGCCTAAGTCTTAGCCTCCTCACAGACCCATAATTTTAGTAATTTTATTGATTGTTTTTCATTCCAGATGGATTTTAACATTTTTTTTTCTATTAACAGAGAAATATGGCAACAGTACCAGAAAATGCAACCCTTTGTTTATATTCACAATTGTGCTCAGATTGTGAGAGAACATTGATGTTGGAACACGTGCGACGACAACAGAATTCAATAAGGGGAAACAAAAAAATATTTTTATTTTTAAAAAAATATAAAAAAATAATGGTACAAATAAAAAAGAATATGAAAAAGGTAATTGATAAAATATGTGATGAAGATCAATAAATTAACAATGAAAATTTGTTATAGAAAAATGCAAAAATGCATACAAAACTTGCGGAAGAAAATGTAAATAAAATTAAGCAGAAGAAGGAGGTGGTGTTGCCCGCTGCCGTGGATTCCGATGAGGCAGAAGAAGATGAAGAAATGCCGGTGGAGACTGAAGGCTACGATTCCATGATTGAAAATGGAACGAGTGATGAGAGCGATGAAGAAGAACTAGAAGATGATGACGATGACAGTGATGATGGTTTCTCAGATAAGGAGGAGGAGCAGGAACCTACAAAACCAAATAAAAAACGCAAGCAAGAACAGCAACAAGTTTCTGCACCCCAACAACAACCGGATGCTAAGAAACCCAAGAAAGCTGCTGGTGTTGCTGCTGTGGGTGGTGAAAAAGTCAAACCACCCACACTGGAGGAAATTAACGAATTGAAAGAAACTCGCAATCTCTTCCACTCAAATCTATTTCGTTTGCAAATCAAGGAAATGTTGGAGGAGGTGAAGATAAAAGATAAATACAACAACTACATTAACAGTTTTATGGAACAATTTAAGGGATTTGTAAAAGGTCTTAAGGATATGCCCGAAAAAGAAGATATGAACAAATTGTCGTTCTTAAAGAAACACAATATCACAGTACCTCTTAACCTGCCAGCTTTGAAGGTACAACAACAAAAATTGTTCCAATTTCAATTTCTGAAACCCACCGTTGAGCCATTCTTCATTGGGGCCTGCAACACACACACCCTTTTGGGACCACAGCTGCAAGCAGATATTTGTGTTGTAATGCCAGCCGATTGTTGGCAAAAGGAGAACTATTTAAATTTGCAATATGACCAAAAACGGGCATTTTATTTGACCTATTTAACACACAAGCTATTGGAGTCGAAAATAATTCCCGATCTAACGGCAAGCCAATTGAAATTTGTCTATTACAAAAATAATCCATTGAAACCGTTGCTGGAGATTACCCCTCCCGAGACGGCGGGTAAGAAATTGTCTCAGAAATTGGTATTTCGTATATTTGTTGTTGGTGATGAAAGTTCATTTAAATTGAATCGTTTTGTACCATGGAATAACAATATACGTTCCACCCTTTATGGTGTGGAGGAAGACGCCAGCGGCACCCGAACTGCCACACCCAACTACAATTCAAATGTTTTGTTCGATTTAACAATGCAGGCAAATCAAAAACTCCTGAATGAGACTTTTGAAAATCGTAAAAATTTCCAAGAAGGTTTTTTGTTGCTTAAAGTGTGGCTGCGCCAAAGGCAATTGGATGTGGGTTATTGTGGTTTCAGTAGCCATATAATGGCCATGTTTATTGCCTTCTTGGTGAAACAAAAGAAATTACACAATAATATGAGCAGTTACCAGGTGGCACGTAATGTTTGGAATAATTTGGGTAAGTCGTGGGTCTCTTCAAATTGAAAATTGATTTTAATAATAATACAAAATTTTCATTAGCCCTCTCCAATTGGAACGAAATGAATAAGGGCATAAGCCTTAGTAGCGGAGCGAGCAGTGTTCCAAATCAACCCACATTGGAACAAATGCATTCACATTTCAAAGTCGTTTTTATTGATTGCACGGGATTCTATAATATTTGCTCCAATTTATCTGAGGACATGTATAAACGTATACAAATGGAATCGAAATTGGCTGTGGATATGCTGAACGATATGAAATTGAATAGTTTCCAATATTTATTTATGATGAAAGTGCCACTATACACTCAAATGGATCACATTCTCAAGTATATATATTTTTGATTTATTTTTTTCATATAGTAATTATTTATTTAAATAATTTTCTTATAGAATTAACAAATCCGATGCTGTGGAACAAATCTTGGAAATGCATGTCAGCCCAGCCGATAAATATAACAATGCTGGTTATACATATACCTTGTTGCATGAAACCATTACCAAGTAAGCAGCAAACCGATTTTTGAAAACAAAATTATTTTCTAAAAAAAACTATTTTCCAGACTTTTAAAAAAGGGTCTACATAAAAGAGTTGACTTCTTGATACCTCTCGAACAAGCGATATTGCCCTGGCATATAAATGAATGCCCCTCAGAAGCTTTGCAAGAGCTTCATTTGGGGGTTATTTTAAATGCCGAAAATGCCTATGAAATTCTTGATAAAGGTCCAGAATCCATCGATCCATCGGCAGCAGAATTTCGTGCATTTTGGGGTGAGAAGGCCCAACTGAGACGTTTCCAAGATGGTACCATCACCGAATCTGTTGTATGGGCAAATGCCAATGATGATCTAGCCAAGAAACGTTTAATTGTCCGTTCCATTGTCCTGTATTTATTACAACATCATTTCCAATTGGAACAAAAAGATATTGAATATATTGCTGGGGAATTAGATTCTGTCTATACGCTGACGAAAAGTTTCAAAATCGACAATATCAAGAGTAAATATAAAATCCAACAGGACACCGATGCTGAGGCCTTGTCTCTGCATGTTATCAGGGAATTTGATGATTTGGCAAGGAAATTAAATGCCCTAAAGGATTTACCTTTGGAAATTGTATCCATTGCTCCCATATCACCGGTATTGAGATATTGTGATCCCCGGCCCGTGTTGCCACAGGCTCGTTGCATACAAGAACAATTTTTTGCCAATAATGTTCAGTATGGTATTATACAACTAGGTGAGAAATTATGCTTTATTTTCTCTCTATGATGATAAATAATTTTCATTTTATTTCTCTTTTTAGGCCTGAGCGGTAAATGGCCTGGTGAATTGGGTGCCCTGAGGGCCTTGAAAACAGCATTTTATATACAAATTGCTGCTTTATTGCGTGATCATCACAAACTTCAATGCAAGGTGACATATGATGGAGTGTTGATACTAAAACAGGGCTACTGTTTTAATTTGGAAATTGCCCATCCCAAAGAGGTGGGCCTATTGAAGAGGGAAATAAATGAAAAGGGCATAAAACAACATGTAGATTGTCCCGAAAGTATTGCCTTGGAAAAACGGCATTATGTACTACCCAAAGTTACAGGCGCTTTAAGGGCATTACATCAAACTCATCCCTCGTTTGGTCCCACCGTAATGATCGCCAAACGTTGGTTATATTCACAATTAATTGATGATGGCCAATGGCCAGAGGAATGTACCGAACTATTAATTGCCTCACAATTTCTAAAAACCTCCACAAAATGTATTAGCAATGCACCACAAATGTCGTTTATTCGATTTTTACATTTATTGGCCAATGCGGATTGGAAAACGGAAATGTTTTTAATTAATTTTAATAATGCCATGCAGGGTAAGTTTTCGGGACAAAATACCAATGGAATGACTTCTTATAAAAAAATAATTTTTTTATATTTTCACAGAAACGGAAATTTCCGATTTGGAACAAAAGTTTAGCACGGAAAGAGATGCATTTCCCCCCTTGTGCCTGGTAACATCATATGATCGACAACATTATGGCAAAATATGGACATCGGAACAACAACCAAATATACATGTTTTGGCTAGGGTTACACTGCTGGCAAGGCAATGTTTGGAAATCATTGAATCTTCGCTGCTAACAAATGCCAGCTTTATAAAACCCGCTTATATTTTTAAAGCCCCCACGGAGGGTTATGATTTGGTAATACAACTAAAACCCGAGGCGGTGTCCAATGCTTTGACTTTTGAATTGGGTTCACCGTTTGTGGACTTTACAAAACCCAATTGGCATATGCCTTTGGCGGGTAGTAATTTTATGAGAAATGCTGTGCAGAAATTAAGGGTAAGTGATGAAATATTCTGTTAACAAAATAAAATATATATAATTAAAATAAAATGTGTTTTTTACAGGAAGCCTATTCCGAGTTTGCCGCCTTCTTTTATAATCCCTGTGGTGGTAAAGAAATTGCTGTGGTTTGGAAACCCAATGCCTTCGAGTCAAAAGAATTCAAAGTTAACGAGGTTAATGGTTGTTCGCTGGCTGCCAATGACCCCAAGAAAGTTCAGGCAAAAAAAGAAATTCTAATTGAAGATTTCAAATTCATATTAAAAGATTATTATATGCGAATTGGCAGTGTCGAGAGTGTTAGAAAGGCCTCAGTCAACAAATCTTTGGAAAATGCAAGTGCAATTAAAAAAGAAAAACCAAGATATTTCACGGTAAAAGAAGAAAAGCCAAATACAGAGCAAACTACCAAGAGTGTTAAGAAAATGAAAACAACAAAAAAGCCGGAAAATTCCATATCGCAGAACTCCAAGCAAATCAAGAAAAAACAAAAGCAAAAACTTAAAAAATTGAAGAAAAACTAAATAAAAACTATATATAATTTATATGTTACTTTTTCCCCTTTTTTGTTTTAGTCTTTACATTCATAATTTGTTTTGTATATAGTGAAGAAATTTTTACAAATCCAATTACATAAAATAAAATATGTATGTTTTCGTTTTAAGAAAAATATGATGAAGAAATAAGCTTCTTTTGTTTTCTTTGTTCACGGGCATCTTGACAGTATTCTGTTATTGATTCGGGAGTTTGAGTGGCACAGGAAAATGAAACTTTTTTGGCATGCACTTTGCTGCAAGGGGATGTAATTTGTTTGATGGCTGTTTGCTTTTGCTCAGAGCATACATTAAGTTCAGTAGTTGATGTACCACGGGAATATGTAAAAGGGTACTAGAAAAACAGTAACCATAATTGTAACATAGGAAGGAATTTTTGAGTACCACGGAAAATGTGTTTAAAATATTTGTCTTTTAATATTCTATAATAAAATCCCGTGCCTCTTAAGGATTCCTTTAAAATTTTCTTTTTAAATTAAAAAAGAAAACCCACATCTCAAAACCCCCTAAATCTTTTTAAAATATCCATTTTAAATACTTACAGGCGCTTGCCTTGCATTACCACCACATCTCTCCCATTTCAATTGTTCTTCAATGGAACATTTTCCACTTGACGAAATATCCATTGGCTGTGGAAATGCAGCATTATTTGGTTGATTTGTTGTTACACAAATAATATTGGCATGCCCTCTCTTTAGGAGCTGCAGCAAATATTCAACTGTCATCGGCTCAATGTTATTCAAATGACCATATTGATTTAATTTTTGAAAACTTATCAGACGAATATCTTCAATTTTGCGCATATCTTGTTGCTTTGCAATATAGTATTCATTGTCGGCAATAAAATGAACTGTAAAGGAAAAATAATGAAAAAAATTTGAAAAGAAAAGAATTGTGGAATAATTGCATCTTACCATAGGTTGGAGCCAAAGTTTCTTCGGAAATTTGTACAAATTTTTTGGAGGAGGGATGAGAATACATAATTTTTTTGTAGATTTTTAGCCAAAATTTTATTTTGAATTTTAGTTTTGTAATGACATAATAGGTTCTTCTTCTTTTTTGTTGTGTGTGTACGATAAAGTAAAAAATAGCTTAAGTCCTTATACCGGGTACTTCTAATTTAATACCTAAATTTTCTTCTTTAATTGGTGTTGCTGTTGCTGAGCTTTCGCCATCCTTTAAACCAAAATCGGGATAAAGTTTTGCCACCTGTCCAATGGGAGTGCATAATCGTCCTGAAAAATCGGTACGTTTGCTGCACTGTGAACGTTCAGCACTAGTCACAATATCGAAGAGCGATCTTTGTCCCACATTACTAAAATTACGTTTGGTGCCTTTCGAGATATGACCACTACCCGAGTTGCTGGCATCCATAGAATGTGGTGGTGATAGCGGGGAATCTGTTGTTGCTCTTATTATCGCCTTACCGCTTGCATCTCCTGCAAAAGACTTTTATGGAAATTTTGAAATAAAAAACCTAAAATTCAAATAACTTACTTGTGGCATCCAATTCGGATTTAACGGTGGCATCACCACAGGCCGCTCTTAGTTTTTGTGTATTCTCCAATAAGACTTTGTGATAGGGTGTCGGGGCACAACTTTTTATTATAAACTCCAATTCAGAAAAGAATAATGTATATTGATCCACTTTCTTGTGGCCTTTTATTCTGCAAAAAAATAAATAAATAAATAAAAATAGTTTCGGGTTAGTTTAAGAAATTATTCAAATTATAATGAAATTGTAGCCTTTTTTTCACTTTTGTATGTCTGGGTTTATACATGCAACTTTTTTAAGCAACTCTGCGGCTGCTCTCTTTTATGCCTCTCACATCTAAGAACTCAGCAGAGTTGCTTACAAAAGTTGCATGTATTCTGAAGTAACTTAAAGACCAGAGCCAAAAATAATTTTTTCTGTCTCCCCCTTTTAAACCTCACCTATTGGCATTTAAATTGGCAAATGGTAACAATTCCCTTCTCGTCGATGCCTTATACAATTCATACATATTTTGTAAGCAGTGCAGCTCATCGGTTTCATCCATATCTTCTTTGGCAATTTTCCGAAGAAAATTTGTTAGCCAAGGTAGCGAACGTTGTAGATTGAAGACAATTGTCGTAGACAATGTAAGCGGGAAATATGAAGATCTCTTGTACAAACGTTCTCGGGCCACATTTAAATTTTCTTCGGGTTTTGCCTTGGACTTAAGTGGAACCAGACGATGAGCTTTTATAAATGACGCAAAATCTGCAATACGATAATCGGTAATACGACCACCGGGACCTTCGGATATGGAAGGCGGATCTTCTAGACAGGAACGTGTAATTTGTAAAGCATGTATGAAGATTTCTCCACCACGGGCCGATAATAAATGGCTAGTTGTCTTACCACCAGTTTTCCTACAAAAAGAAGAAAATATATGCGAATCCAAATAATTTATCGATTTTCAATAAAAATCCCTTACCTAGGCATTTCCAAAAGTACGGAGCGACCATTAAGCAAAAAATTAATAAGACAAGATGAAGGTCTGCTGGTGACATCAACCGGGGTAACACGATGCTGTGCCAGACACGGTGGACATGCTGACATATCAGATGCTCCACATCCTCGTGGTGTACACCATTTCAATGTAACGGTCTCGTATTCTGCTCCCTCTTTTATGCTGGTGGGTAGTAGAGCCTCATTGCCACAAATTGACGTGTGGGCATTGCGGGCATGCAGTATTTCTACATCATAATTGGCACTGGAATTGGCGTTTTGTTCTTCCTAAAAAAAAAATCAAAATTATTATTCCATTTAAAATCGTTCAATCGCAAACCTTTACCTTCATTGGTATACCCGTCACAGTTGTACTGGCCAAATCATAATGACTCATTATTAAATGTGTTAGCTTATTGGAAATCTCGGGAGCACTTGTGGTATGAATTTCCGTTGACAGACATGGTGACAATTCCATTTTTACCCTATTCGTTACCAGCGTTTCCATATTCATTGGCACCATATTAATGATCACCAAATGACAATGATCAATGGGTAGGATTTTCTTTTGTGCCATGGCCACGGTATTCTGTTGCATTAGAACATTATGAAAAATGTCTTCCAAACTTTTCATACTTGGATTATCTCGTGCTGAGGTGATACATATTACGCGACCTTTATTGGGAATTTTCTCCATAACACCTGTTGCAGCTCCCTCTTGATTTTGCAATAGAGCTAATTGCTGTTCCGTGGGCTCAGCCAGCGCTTCTATGGCCGCCCTAAGACCATGAATCACCGAATAGTCGGAAGATTGTGGTGTATTACGTTGTGGCACACCAACCAATGCCATTGCATTCAGGACATGTGACATATTTTGAGTGGCAAACTTCCATGTATTCACGATGTGGGCAGCCGTATCACTGACAATAAAACGTATTAACTTGCCGCGGGGAAATAGATCCCAAACAATGCGACAATATTCTATGGACGATTCTACCGACGAAGTCCATAGACTTTTACTAAATTGTAGATTTTGTTGTGATGCTGCCGGCAACGGTGGATCCGTGGGGTTATTTGACTTTCCTTTAAGAAAGTCCAAGGGTATATAATCTTCACTGGATATACTAAAATATTGGGTATGATCCAATACGAATATGGTCTTTTGATTTATATCGTACATTTTTATAAATTTAAATCAAACATATATGTATAAATGTACCGGGAACAGACTAATTTCACAATTTCTATTCCAATCCAAACTTCCTTTGTGAGCCTTTAACCGAATCAACCGAATTTAAAAACGTTCCCAATGAATTCATTAGGGAGTGACAGCGACAACCAGATTTGTTGTTTACGAATGTTGTGTGATGCTAAATGAGTTGTTTAGAACGAGACATGGAATAATGCCAATCAGCTGATGTTTCTGCCTACAAAATAGGGATACAAAAGTCGATTTTCGACAAACCAATTTATATATTGATATGACATCTAAATTTGAACGATCTAAAGGCGGGATCACATGATTGCCGCAATGCGCCAATTATTGGTGCATTTTATATGCCAATCGTGTGATTGCACAATTTATTGTCCAATGCGACAATCAAAAATAAATTGTGCTGATTTGCGGCAATCAAATACAACTCTGGTACGACAATCGTGTGAACTGTTAATAGACAACCTTGCGCAAATTTAAAGTTGAAAAATGCGTCAATATTTATTGTTTTCTAGTGCGTCAATCAAAGAAGACAATACGCGTCAATAACCTGATTTTTTTTAAATAATATTTTTTCTTGTGTTTGTACCGTCAACATTTCTTTGTCGTAAGTAAAGTAAAGTTAATTTAAATTGTTGTATTTGCTATAATTATGTTCATATTATGTATTTGCAGCTTTAATATGGAATTCGGTGATTGCATTGTATACGAAAATTCAGCTGAGCTTGAGTTCTTTTCCCCCGATCAGCAACCAGAAACACCTGTGCCGAAAAAAAGAAAAAAACCAAGTGTAATTTGTTCCTGGACCTACACTGCAATACAGGAGCTGATACAAGCTGTGGAACAGCATCCATGTGTTTGGCAGTATTCATCCACCGAGTACAAAGATAGGAATAAACGGGAGCAGGCATGGCGGGAAATTGAAAAAATGTGTACAGGGCACACGGTGGAAGACTGCAAGGCCAAATGGTGCAACATTAAAACGGCCTTTCAAAATGTAAAAAAAAAACTAAAATCAAAATCTGGTCAGGGAGCCGAAAATACCATACCACATTGGCCGCATTGGTCTGCAATGCAATTTTACAACGACCACTCTGTGTCAAAAATGTCAAGTACAGTGTCAACATTAGATTTGGATGACTCTGGAAGTACTTCACAACATGCCGCTGCTGAGATTGTAAAGGTAGACAAAAGTGACATTTTGCAGCGTGCAGTTAAGTGTTTAGATGCGGAGGAAGATAATTGGCACGCGATTGGGATGTATTTGGCATCACAAATGCGAGAAATTGCCAAGAAAAACAAGAAGGCTGCGAACAAACTGCATTTCCAGCTTGTCAAAGTCGTAATGGATGCAGCTTTGGAAGCTGAAGAAGATGATTAAGCCTTGATAAATTTTTTGCGTTATATTTCATTTTTTAAATTGAATTTTTATAGTATGTATATGTAAGTTTTTGTTTTGTTATTTTGTTTGCAATATTGAAGTACCTTCCTAGTCCGTATTTTTTTAGATAATAAAAATGAATTAAATAAAACTAGTAAATTTTCTGATTTTAAATTAAAGTTTAAATTTTATTTGATATATAAAATTATTTATATATTTTTATATTGCCAGCTCAATTCTCCAATAGGAGACATGAAATACTTTTCCATTTCATCCCGAACAGCCTTTGCTTCACTTGTTATATAAGAACTTGGAACATTTTCTGTTCCACTCACAGCATCTAGTGGGAAGTCATTTCGCCATGTACCAGGAATTAAAGCACCGTCCTCATCGTAGCGATCAACAAGCAACGACGTTGTATAATTTAAATTTTTTTTTAACAAAAAATTGTGTAATGCACAGCAAGCTAGAGTTGTAGAGGTTGTTTTCTCTGCATTAAGCTTGGAAGGGCGTGAAAAAATTTGAAATCGCTTGACCATTATGCCAAATGCATTTTCTACAACACGTCGTGCTCTCGATAGCCTGTAGTTAAATATTCTCTGCCCTGCAGATAAACTTTTACCAGGATATGGCTTCAGCAAATGTTTCTGCATGCGGAAAGCATCATCCGCAACCAAAACAAATGGAACATTTGCTTGACGACCTGGCAATGGTTTTGGAAGTGGCAAATTTAGCTCATTATTGTTTAAAGCACGTTGAAAAGTACAGTCTCCAAAGACTCCACCATCCGACACACGACCATTACAGCCAACATCAACGTATAAAAAGTTGTATTCGGCATCAACAACTGCCATTAGCACTATACTATGTGTACCTTTATAGTTATAGAAGGTGCTTCCTGAATTAGGTGGTGCTATAATTTGCACATGTTTGCCGTCAACCGCCCCTATGCAGTTCGGGAAGTTCCATAGTTTGTTAAATTTGAAAGCAACGACATTCCATTCTTCCTGCGTGGATGGTATCTACATACATATCAAAAGAAATAATAAGTCAATTAAAAAGCATAAATATGTGTGTATTTAGATTTTTCATACCTTTATGTATGCACCTTTTAACGCTTTATAAATAGCATCACAAACAATTGGTACGAAAAGTGATATGGTATTTGGGGCAACACGGAAGAAGACCGAAAGACTTTTATAACTGTCACCAGATGCAAGAAATCGAAGTGTCACAGCTAAGCGTATTTGTTCGGGAATAGCCTTTCGCATGTTTGTGTCTTGTTTTTTAATATATGGTGACACTAGTTGCAACAATTCGATAAACGTTTCGTCATCCATCCGGATAAAATTTTTAAACAAAAACTTTTGGTTTTCGATTTCCCGGAATTCCATTAATGTTTTGTCATATGCACCATCAGTGCTTCTTTTTGTGAGCCACTCTCTGACCCACGTACTTCTATTTACTTTTTTTTTCTTTTCTTTCCTTTCATTTTTCTCATCGTCAAATGCACACACCATAATTATAGCTGCTGCAATTTTCTTTTTTTTTTAAAGAACACATCTTAATAAAACAAATTTTTAAATGCTTTAACATTTTTAATAAACAAACTTTGACACATAGCAGCTGCTTCTGATATTTGCCGTGTAGTAGAACAATCGTGTGACTGAAGTTGGACAATAATTGTCACTTGATGGTTTTGAGACAATATGCGGCAATCAAATTTATGAAAAGTTGGACAATCATGTGACCGCAGAGAATTTGATTGTGACAATTTATTTATTGTAGTAAAACTTTGGACAATAAAAATTGGTTTAAATTGGCGCATTGCGACAATCATGTGATCCCACCTTAAGAAACCAGATTATTTGAGAATCCAGCCCGTGATGGTCACTTGACAATACGCAGATAAAGGTCAATGGTCTCATAAATTTCTTCAATCTGAGGAATATGAAAATATCAGCACCAAATCAACAGCCACACTGTATATCACATAAGTTTCTGAAATTAATCTTCCAGCCAAAATAATTTTCGATAGAAAACACATTCCGATAAACAATTGGGCTAAGATATTGGGGGTAACATTCGACAGCCATTTTAAATCGTCTGCGAAAATCACTACTATTTGCGACAACTGAGATGTGGGGACATAGTTATCAAGTCGCTGGTCGGTAGCACTTGATGCGTTCACAAGGAGATCTTGTTTAACAGAGTACCTCGGCATCATTTGTCGATACTGAACCTTACGAAAAGGGCACTAGAGTGAACATCTAGATTAACAGGTCTATAAAACGGGTCTGAATGGCATTAATACAGATGCAGTCAAACAAGCAATAAAACAATATCTTAAAAATGTTACACTCATAGACCATTATACTCTCTAGCCTTCAAATTCTCTACGGAAGCGGTCCATACAGCTTTTCTGAATTTGGATACATTGGTGATATTTTGCTTGTTTGATAGTGTACCCTCTCATTTTTGTCATTCAACAGGCAGCCACAAAAGTATTCATGGTTGTAGGACAGTCAGTAATCGATAAAAGAGTTTTCAGTCAAAAATGATAGTGTGTACTCGCCTTAAGGTATGAATTCGCCACCCGGCAGACTTTGTTTATATGCCATATGTGTACATCATCGTGGCTCATGGTATAATAATAAAAGGTAACAGCAAGTGTTGTTGTACAAAAACCAATACAACAACCACATGGAAATTTGTTATTGTAAGTTCTACTAGTGTCAACTCATTTGACAGAAAAATGTAAAGAAACAAACAAATTATCATCAAATTATTTTTATTTTGAAAATGGAATATTTTCGAATCCTCAAAATAAAAATTGAAAAACATGAATGAAAATCTATCAAATTTATATTTCTATCGCTTCCACATCTTTCCTTTAATTGAGCCATTGCCATATATATGTGTAACACATATGACAATGCTGGGAATAGCGAGTAATTCCTTCAAGAAGATTTGCTTCCTGAAACTTTCCCAGCAGGCAGATTGAGTAAATTGAATACGGGGGCACATTAATAAAGAACAATTTAAAATTGTTTGCGTTCCCAATTTTCCTGTTGGGTGATTTTTAAATACATAATTTGTCAAATTCATATTGACACTAGTATTACGTTGGAATCAAATCAGCTGGGATTTGCTGTTACCTTTTATAATTGTACCATGATCGTGGCTTAAATAACAGAGTAAATGTAATTTTTTGCATAGAGCATGAATACCCCTAATCATTCGATGTTTCTACTTGAACTCGACATGCAATGTTGCCAACCATTAGAAATATTACTAAATACAATTTGACAGATGTTCAAATAACGAACAGATGTTTTTGTTTTGATACATCATCTTATTATTGCATCATGTATCAAATGGTCAAAAGTCGACCTACACATCCCTGACCAATTACGTCTGCGACTGTCATTCTATTATCACGTTTTTGCAGAAATTGTGAAGTGAATGAGTGTGGAAAAATTTTCGTTAAATTTCAACGATTTTATCTATTAAAACCCACTTTTTAAATACAAAAATACGTAATGTCTTGGTTATTGGGAAGAAACAGGCCCCAACAGCCCCAAGATTTGCCACCCAGTGATGGGGGAAATCCTGATGGTGAAACTGCCGGCGAACGGTCTGGGGATGCACAATTGACAAAGGCTGAGCGTAAGGCAATGGAAGCTTATCGTTTCGATTCGTCAGCCTTGGAGAGGGCTGCTGAGGCGGCACGAACTTTGGAAAGGTCAAGTAAGTTAATTTCATCACCTTATCAATTTATTGTGGGTTGTAATATAATCAATTTAATCTGAGCATTGGAAGGTGGTGGGGGTTGGGGGCAGAAAAAAACTTCACACACAATTGCATAACCGTTTGTGTGTGTACATGTGTAGTTTTCGTATTTGTATTATTTGGGTAGCAATAGCAGTGTGATTTAACATTAATTGAACTTTGTGAAATCTTTTACTTTTAAGAACATGCCCGCGAAGCTTTGGAATTATCCAAACTGCAGGAACTTACCCGTCAACAGGAATATCAACAAAAGGTTAAGGAGTATGAGGCCCATATTGAACAGGCTAAGGTTGAGCAGAGGCGTATCGATCATGAGGAAAGAAGGAAAACTTTGATTGTAAGTGAAAAACATATACGTTTTTTATTTATAATTTATTTATTTATTTATAAAAAATTATTTCCCTTAGGAAGAGACCAAGCAACAACAACAACGTGCCCAATACCAAGATCAATTGGCCCGTAAACGTTATGAAGATCAATTGGCCCAACAACAACGTGTCCAGGAGGAGAACTTGAGAAAGTAAGTTTCAGTAAGGCATATTTACATAATAATTACTTAATCTACGGATTTTTATCTTAGGCAAGAAGAAAGCGTTGCCCGCCAGGAAGCTATGCGTCGCCAGACCATCGAACATGAAATTGAAATGAAGGAAAAGAACCGCCTGAAACTTCTTGAACATGAAATGAGAGTTAAGGCCAAGGTGGATCGCGAAAATCGTGATATCAATTTGGAACAGATTCGTTTGAAGGCCCAAGAACAACGTACAACTATTTTGGAGGGTATCAAGTAAGGGCATTTTAAAATCTATCTTAAGACAACATTTGCATTTATTTTTATTTTTTCTATCATAGGACTGCCGGTACAGTCATTGGTACTGGTGTTGAAGCCATGCTAACAGATTGGGATAAGGTTTTGACCGCAGCCGGAGGCCTCTCATTGTTGGCTCTTGGTGTTTATGCCGCCAAGGGTGCCACAGGTGTGACATCACGTTACATTGAATCTCGCATTGGCAAGCCAACCTTGGTAGGAGAAACATCCCGTTTTGCCATTTTGGATGCTGTACAACATCCCATTAAATATGTCAAGAAACTTAAATCGAAGCCGGCAGATGCCTTGCAAGGTGTTGTTCTGAACCCTAAGCTAGAGGAACGTTTGAGAGATGTGGCTATTGCCACGAAAAATACTCGCATTAATCGCGGTATGTATCGTAATATCCTGATGCATGGTCCCCCCGGTACTGGTAAGACTATGTTTGCCAAAAAACTTGCCGAACATTCCGGTATGGATTATGCTATCATGACTGGTGGCGATGTTGCTCCCATGGGCAAGGAAGCCGTTACTGCTATACACAAGGTGTTCGATTGGTCTCAGACCAGCCGTCGCGGTTTGCTGTTGTTCGTGGACGAAGCTGATGCCTTCTTGCGTAAACGTTCCTCGGAACATATTTCGGAAGATTTGAGAGCTGCTCTTAATGCCTTCCTGTATCGTACATCTGAACAAAATTCCAAATTTATGTTGGTATTGGCTTCGAACACACCCGAACAATTCGATTATGCCATTAACGATCGTTTGGATGAGATGGTGGAATTCACCCTACCCGGTTTGGAGGAACGTGAACGTCTGTTGCGTCTGTATTTCGATAAATATGTTTTGCAACCAGCAGCCGAAGGAGCCAAGTGAGTTTCTTCTTGATTTCCCCCCTAACTTTTGTGAACTAACAAAATGTTTATATTTTTTTCTTTCAAGGCGCTTCAAATTGGAGCAATTCGATTATGGTGCAGCTTGTTCGAAAATGGCTAAAATGTGCGAGGGCATGTCTGGTCGTGAAATTTCCAAATTGGGTGTATCCTGGCAGGCTGCTGTATACGCCTCCGAAGATGGTGTTTTGACCGAGAAGATGGTTTTGGATAGAGCGGAAGCCGCTGCCCAACAACACAAACAGAAGATGGCCTGGTTATCGGAACAAGAACGTTTAGATCATAAATCTATCACAGGTGGAAAGACGAATTAGAGTTAAGTTGAGATCTTCATTCATTTACTACTATTTAGTTAGTACTATATCACTAACATTACAACAAACCAACCAATCTACCAATCTACCGTTTAACATTAACGCTAATTAAGTTTTAAGTTTAGACAAAACAAAAACAACACAGAGATAAAAGCAGAGCTTTCCTGATGTCTGTTGACTGTTAATTGAAACAAAAAAGAAGTACAAAACTGCAAAGCTTAATAAACTACTGCCATATCCCACAGACAAACAAACACACACACAAATAGATCAAAAAACCAAAATCAATTGTACAGAGATGTAATTTAAGATTTTTATTGCTGTTTAAATTACGTCTCTCTTCTGAATGGGAGATTAACTAATCACACACAGGGACTTCTTTTTGTTTTGTAAATAATTCTTAGTATTCTTAAGATTTATATTTGTTGTTTAAGAATCATTTGTACTACTAGACATTGAAGGTGAGATGAGAAAAAAAATGTAAATCAGAAAGGCTTTGTTATCTGTTTGAAAAAAGAAATGAAATACCCATTGTTGACTGCTGAATAACGCACTTTACCAAATATCATACAAATCGAACTAAATTGCATTTTAGGGAAATTTATATTAAACTTCTCGCATTTGTTCGTTGAAAACTTTGGTGCGAAACAAACAATATATTAGTTTAAGCAGTAATTTGTTTTCTTTTGTTTCTTTTTTTATTATATTTTAATTTTTTTTATTTACAATGTCGCATTTTTCGAAAAAAAATATAAAACATAAATGTGTTAAACCACTATTATTAATATAAACACAAAAACAAATAGAGAATGTTCTAAATAATTTTAAAAAAATGGTTGATGTTTTATTTGGGCGGGGTATTGTGTATAACATTTCAGTATGAAGAATAATGGAAATATGGGTGGTTGAATATGGTTGAAAAATACGTCTCGATGAAAAATTTACTCAAGAGAGGGTATCTTTCTTAAATTTATATTTTAAAATAATTCTGAACTTTTATTTGAATTTAGATTAGATAGATTTTCGAAGCTATTTTTCATTTAATTTAAACGAAACAGCTGAAGTTAAAACCTTAAAATTTTGGGTGAGGGTCACTTTTGGTCTAAAGGTGACAGATAAGGCTGTGTTCTTGGAAATTCGTACTAGAACGGTACGAAAAGTACTAAATGTGATACCATTTGTATTTGGCGAGCCGGTAGAGCTAGAACTCTAAAATTTGGATTGAGGGTCATTGATGGACTGTAGAGTAGATGTACCAAAGGGTTTTTGGAAATTTGAATTATCCAACTATCCGAAAAGTACGAAAATGTATTAAATTTGGTGCAATTCCATAGCATGTGAACGGATAGCGCTAAAAACTTGAAATTTGAAATGCAAATTAGGGTTTAGAAGTAGGGTCGATAAAAGGATATGGTTATGATAGCGTGTTCTCGTGTGTACGAAAAGTACTACATGGTACTATATTTGATACAAATTTGATTTGGAGGTACAAATCGAGCCGGAATCCTGAAAATTGAAAAGTACTAAATCGTACTATAATTGGTACAATTTGAATTTGTGGAACCGATAGAACTGGTACAATGAAATTTGGAGTTAAGATCATTGTTGAGGTGTAGGATTGGTGTATGTAGGAAATTTTGGAAATTCGTACTAATGTGTACTATATGGTACCAAATTTGGGTTTGGTTAAATTCTTGACATTTGAAGTTAGGACCATCGAGCCGGAATCCTGAAAATTGAAAAGTACTAAATCGTACTATAATTGGTACAATTTGAATTTGTGGAACCGATAGAACTGGTACAATGAAATTTGGAGTTAAGATCATTGTTGAGGTGTAGGATTGGTGTATGTAGGAAATTTTGGAAATTCGTACCCAAATTTGGTACCATATAGTACACATTACTATATGGTACCAAATTTGGGTTTGGGTGAGCCCATAGGGTTAAATTCTTGACATTTGAAGTTAGGACCATTGTTTGGGGTTGACATGTGCTAATTAGGAAGTTTTGGAATTTCCTACTAAACTGTGAACTAAATTTGGTACAATTTAAATTATGAGTGAACCGATGTAGGAAGTTTTGGAAATTTGTACTAAATAGTACCAAATGTAAAGCGATTGAGCTGGTATCTTGAAATTTGACGTTGGGATACCTTTAGAGTGTAGTATTGGGCTTTGTAGAAAGTTTTGGAAATTCGTACTAACGTGTACTAAATTTGGTATAATTTAAATTTCGGGTGAACCAATAGAGCTGGAATCCTGAAATTTAGAGTTAGGGTCACTGTTGAGGTGTAGGATTGTGATATATAGAAAGTTTTGAAAATTAGTACTAATGTGGGCAGAATGGTACCAAATGTGGATTTGGGTGAAACGATAGAGCTGGAATGCTGAAATTTCGAAGTAAGATTCCTGTTGGATGCTATTATGGAAATTCATACTTATGGGTACTAAAGTTGGTACAATTTGAATTTTAGAACTGAGATCTAATGGAGCTGGGATCCTGAAATTTGGAGTTAGGATCATTGTTGGGGTGTAGGATTGGGCTATGCAAAAATTGTTGGAAATTCGTACTAATGTGTACTAAATTGGAGAAAATCGGTTCAGTTTTAGATATAGCTCTCATATATAGGTTTGTTGATTTTATGTAAATGGTGTATCAATATTACTCCGATTCACCGAGTACAGAATTAGGTCTAGATTGATGTATACGAAGGTTTGTTAAAATCGCTTTAGATTTAGATATTGCTCCCATATATAGTTTTGTCCGATTTTATGTAAATGGAGCACCATACTGCCAATTTTTGTCCGATTGAGACAACATTTTGCATAGAGTATTTATATTACTACAGATTGAAATCGGTATAGCTTTCGGTATAGCTCCCATATATAATTTCGTTCGATTTTGTGTAAATGGAGAAACATTCTGTTAATATATGTCCGATTGAGGCAAAATTTTGCACTGAGTACTTAATTAGGACCTGTTCGATTAGGACGAATTAGTACACAACCAAATGGAACCTAGAATACCATGTATTGCATTTTGTGTCGAGATACATTTTGGATAGCGCACTGTGCTGCAGCATTTATATGAACAAAAGATTGACAATCACATGACATAGTGCCTTTTCAATGGTATTAAAAGTATATTGTACATATGAGCATATCTTGTACATACCCAAAGTGGTGAAGGGTATTATATAGTTGGCCCCGTCCGACTTTTGTACTTTCCTTACTGCTTTTTAGGAACATGAAATGAAGCTAGGGGCGAAAAAAAAACTAAACTTGGGACACTTACCCTATATACTTAATGACAGATTCAATTCAGGATTTTTGCAAAGTGGTGAAGGGTATTATATAGTTGGCCCCGTCCGACTTTTGTACTTTCCTTACTGTTTTTTAGAAACATGAAATGAAGCTAGGAGGCGAAAAGGAAAACTAAATTTGAAACACTTACCCTATATACTTAATAAGGTCCCCGACAGATTCAATTCAGGATTTTTGCAAATGGATGAACAAGTTTAATACACATTTTATCTTACAGAAGTTGGCTGAGTAAGACTCAGGACCTTGGAAGCCAAGACTCCAGCCTTCATAAAATTCGCTTGTTAATCGTCTTTCTGCCAAGACTCAAGCGACGTCGTACGCAAACCTTCGCCAACAAATGGTCTGTTCCAGTACTTTTTATACCCTCCACCATAGTATGGAGGGTATATTAATTTTGTCATTCCGTTTGTAACTCATCGAAATATTCATTTCCGACCCTATAAAGTATATATATTCTTGATCAGGGTAAAATTCTAAGACGATCTAGCCATGTCCGTCCGTCTGTTGTAATCACGCTATCTTCTGAAGGAATTGAGATAGGGTGCTGAAATTTTGCATAGGGTTGTCTTTTGTCTGCAGGCAGGTCAAGTTCGAGGATGGGATATATCGGTCCACGTTTAGGCATAGCTCCCATATAAGGGTACCCCCCAATTTTCGGTATTTTGGGGTTCTTGAGCGCGTTTTTCAAGCGAATTTGTAGTAAATGTATCCACAAAAAATTATAAATATAGGTCCACTTTTTCTTGTAGCCCCCATATAACGGTACATCCTAATTTTCAGTATTTTTTGGGTTTTTATCGTATTTTTCACCGAATTGGCTGTAATTTAGTATTTTGAGTTCTTAGCAGGTACCAAATCCCTCCACAAAAAAATTTAAATATAGGTCAATTTTTTCGGATATCCCCCATATAAGGGTACCACCCAATTTCGGTATTTTGGGGTTCTTGAGCGCGCTTTTCAGCCGAATTCGCTGCAATTTTGTACATTGGGTTCATATTGCGTACCAAATATCTCTACTAAAAATTATAAATATCGACCCACTTTTTCTGGTAGCCCCCATATAAGGGCACCCCAAATTTTCGGTATTTTGAGGTTCTTAAGCGCGATTTTCAACCGAATTCGCTGAAATTTGGTACAGTGGGTTCATATTGCGTACCAAATATCTCTATTTAAAATTATAAATATCGGTCCACTTTTTCATTTCAAATACCTGTCAGTATACCTGTGGTGGAGGGTATCCAAAGTTCGGCCCGGCCGAACTTAACGTTTTTTCACTTGTTTAAAGTGGGCCACACACGTCAAACATGTGCGTTCGATCGGTGTGAAGCTCCTAGCCCACACACGTCAAACGGATCCACAAAACTTCATTTCGAATTTATTTTTGAAGCGTTAAGATGGACAGCGATAGCGATGACGGAAAAAAGGCCAAACATTTTTATTTAATTTAAATGTATTAAATAATTTTATTTCATTCCGGGAAAACATTTTTATTTGCCAGACTGTAGAATATGTGTAAAAAAATATCAAAAAATCTTCCAAAACGTTTTTTTGCATATGTTTGATATTGTCCGCTGATGTGCACTCCACGAAATTTCGCAACAAATGAGAAAATATCCACACACCAGCCCACAGACGTCAAACATGTGCGCGTCGCACAACGAAAAATTAAATTTTTTTAATTTCTTTCGATCGGTGTGCGCACCGGCAAATCGGTGTGAACACCGTACCACACACGTCAAACATT